CAAGGGCGCTAGAACTGAAATTATGACTTATAAGATCCAAAAATTGCTTAATTTATCCAACATAAGATAGTCGATAATAAATTGTAAAGTTTTACTTATCTGAAATATACACTGAAATGTCCTCTTAGACACTAAAAAGCACTTGATTTTACGAAATTCATCCAAATGATCGTTACTCAAGCGGTTGTTGCTGAATTTATTACCGCTGTCCTTGTTGTACCAGCCACTGCTGTCTCGCCAGGAACGTTATTAATTAACCGGATTAAAATCACTTTGCCCTGGCCAAACACCAAAAGAGACAGGGGCAGGCAATAACCGGCGGCCCCTTTGACCACTCGTCTGACTCACTAATCGGATTAAGTTGACAGGACCTAGGGACACTGATGACCCATTAGTTCTGGCCGAGCGAGTCTTCGTAGGCCCGATACCGTCGCGATGTTTTATAACTCGTCGGGTTTCGAATCGAAAGTCATCTAAAAGTTGAGCGAAGCGCTCGTCAATAATTTTTGTTACATATGAAACTAAAATGTGAGTGTGTTGAATCCGTGTTTAAAAACGTTGAATTGAGAAATAGAAACAGTACATTTTAAAGCATTATATTCAAAGTGTCAGTCGCATAAACTTGTTTGTGAACGGTGCTTTACGACTAACATTTAGCTTTCATTTCGGTTTCTTCCAAATGGACTTGAACTTAGATTTCGGCCAGACACTTTGTGCATTTAAATGGCGATAGTTTTGACCATCCTCAAGACGAGAGCGTTTTCAGTTCAATCCCGACCTCTGACGAGGTCACATTCGGCCTACGAAGACTCGCTCGGCCAGAACTAATCTGTCATCAGTGTCCCTAGGTCCTGTCAACTTAATCCGATTAGTGAGTCAGACGAGTGGTCAAAGGGGCCGCCGGTTATTGCCTGCCCCTGTCTCTTTTGGTGTTTGGCCAGGGCAAAGTGATTTTAATCCGGTTAATTAATAACGTTCCTGGCGAGACAGCAGTGGCTGGTACAACAAGGACAGCGGTAATAAATTCAGCAACAACCGCTTGAGTAACGATCATTTGGATGAATTTCGTAAAATCAAGTGCTTTTTAGTGTCTAAGAGGACATTTCAGTGTATATTTCAGATAAGTAAAACTTTACAATTTATTATCGACTATCTTATGTTGGATAAATTAAGCAATTTATGGATCTTATAGGTCATAATTTCAGTTCTGGCGCCCTTGGTCTTATCGTTGTTGTTAAGCGATGGCGGTAAAGTAGCTATGAGACACGACCATATTAAACTTAGGGCTGATTTTCGCGACGCTACTAATAATTTTATAAATGTATGACACAAACACAACACGCACATGCAATTGTAGTCGTTTGACGCATATCGTATATATTGATATGTGGCACATATACGACTACAGCAAATTATGCTGCCGGTATTTACAAATTTGATATTTTTAAAATTGTTGAGAGGCAGTTCAT